CTTTCACTTCTCCCCAGGCGGTGTGCTGTGAGGATGGGAGTCACTGCTGTCCTAACCAGTATAAATGTGACAATAGCCACACGTCCTGCATAAAAGGGGAAGTGGTGATTCCATGGTACACCAAGATTCCAGCCATTACCAGCGACGAGGCCGAGCCCTACTCTGTCCAGTGCGAAGGTGCAAGCCAGTGTCCTGAACAAACCAGCTGCTGCAAGCTGTTCACAGGCGAGTGGGGCTGCTGTCCACTCAAAAATGTGAGTGCATGAAAATATCATATACTCTGGTAGGCGTCTCATCAGGTCAGGCTTTGCCTATGCAAACTGGGGAGTATAATTTGCACCAACTATGTGTCTGCAGGCTGTTTGCTGTCCGGATAAGGAGCACTGTTGCCCGCAGGGTTACACCTGTGACATCTTATCCAGATCCTGCCAGAAGCTCATCATGATGCAGCTGGAGAGAGTCCCACTGACACCGGTGTATCTACTTGAGCCTCAACCCCAGCTCAGCCCAACAAAGCACAAAGACATCGAGTGCGATGAACAGACCAATTGCGGGCATGATGAAACTTGCTGCAGGACTTCTGCCACTTCCTGGGGCTGCTGTCCATCTTCTAACGTATGATTTACAGAAATTAGTCCTGCTTCCTTCCTCCTGCTTTATGTTAACTGTCAGGGAGAGCTGAGAACTGTCAGTAAGCCAAGGGCTCCAAAATCTTTCATATGCTTACCTCAGAAAAGGGAGGCTGCGCCTCTTGACTGCCTTCAGGCTCAGTGCTATTTTGAGATCACTCCTGGAAAGTCCAGTTTTAGGTCAGCAGATGAAAGTAATTTTATTTTACAGCCAAAGTAGTATTTCCTCATTTTGTACTATATACAGCAGGAGTAGGCAACTCCAGGCCTCGAGTGCCGGTGTCCTGCAGGTTTTAGATCGCACCCTGGGTTAACACACCTGCATCAAATGATTAGTTCATTACCAGGCCTCTGGAGAGCTTCAAGAAATGCTGAGGAGTCATTTAGCCCTTTAAATCAGCTGGGATGGATCATGGACACATCTAAAACCTCCAGGACACCGGCACTCGAGGCCTGGAGTTGCCTACCCCTGATATACAGTAATTCCCCAGATTTCAGTTCCATCCTTCAGTGAAATTATAACCCTTTACACAGTTAGGTTAACTTTTACCAGACTGCAAACTCGACCATTTTACCCTCTAATTAGTTTGTAAACATATATTCCACTGCTTGAGATTCAACATGAGCTACATTGTAAACAAATTAGTAGGTTAAACCACTGTTGACATGAATAGGTTTTAAACTAATATGTTGTATAAATATGTAGGCCTCTAAACAGCCATAAGGAGAACTTTGCTACTTAAAAAATTAGTGGTATTACTGTTGTGTTTTCATGTAATACTAAAAGGCAAATCTGTACTTACATTGCAGCATCTTTTTAAAAAAAAATGCCTTATAAAGCATCACAACGTCTGAATTGTGAGGTTTTGTGCCAATAAAAAGGGAGTATGTATGAGTTAAGTTAACCATTCAGTTTTTTACAGACTTTCCTCCCTCTGTCCTCCCTCTAGGCGGTGTGCTGCAGCAACATGAAGCACTGCTGCCCGACCGGGTACACCTGTACGGAAGAAGGCTCCTGCATCCAGAACTCCAAGCTTTACTGGCCCAACTGGCACGTGTTCCTCGCCAACAAAAAAAGAGCCCTAATTGTGTGAAAACACCACCTCTAAACTGTTATTTGTTTTAGTTTTTGCATATAACGCACTAATGGAGAAAGAATTCAACATTAATTTCAAAATGCTTTGTTTTTAAATGACACTTTGAAAAACGATTTGAACCTCAGTTGCTAAGATGTTTGCAATCTTGAAGTTGAACATTTTGGTCTGAATGCACCTAATTATATAGATGACCATGTGACTAATGTATTTAAGGAGTTATCTTTGTTATTCCAAGCACACTCAGTTTGTCACTTGAAACTCTACTCCATCCACAATAGAAGACAATCGAAACACTCCACTTGTCAGTCATCTGTTTCTTTAAGACTTGCTGCAGCTGCCTTCTGTTGAAAAGTTTATTTCTTTATCAATAATAGTCAATCAGTCAAAACCTGATTCAATATCTTTCATCATTCTGAACATTCAGTCTGATCATTTAATGATTTTGTGGTGTAATTACTCATTAAATCTTGGGTTCATAATTTTGTGCATTGGATTAGTAATCTGTGTTAATGAGGCAAAGGTGAAGAAATTCATGCTTGGGTCATCTTACCCTGTCAAAGTGTCACATTATCCATTAAATCAATAAAAAAGAAGTGACATTATTAAA